CCCATAAAACAGCAAACGGCCACATAATGCAAAACTATTTAAAATTAAAACGGAACAGTAGAGAAAATCCGATCAGAATGACAAAATAAACTAAGCATCCACCGGAAGGAATCCCAATATCTGCAGACGGATCCATTTCGGCCTTCCAGGCCTCATCAGTGCAGCTAGGGTATAGACCCAAACGAAACGTTCGACCAGCATAGGTAGGGCCCAAACTAGTCCCACGACCACTAATGATTACAGAGCCAAACCAAGGCAATATATAATAATACACAGCCCAGGTGTGAATGCAAATGGTGGAATACAAGCTATGTGGCTCGGTTCCAGTAGATACAGAGAATATTTTGTCACTCGTCCTACGAAATTCTTACGACACAACACTAGTCCGTGATTTTGTGAACAAGATCAGAGATCTAAAGATGCAATCTCTACCGTGCATCAGTGGCGGCCCGCTGGATCTCAATAGAGATTCTTTAATAATATGTAAATTTTAAAAGGCAAATGGGAAAAACCCATAAAACAGCAAACGGCCACATAATGCAAAACTATTTAAAATTAAAACGGAACAGTAGAGAAAATCCGATCAGAATGACAAAATAAACTAAGCATCCACCGGAAGGAATCCCAATATCTGCAGACGGATCCGTTTCGGCCTTCCAGGCCTCATCAGTGCAGCTAGGGTATAGACCCAAACGAAACATATATATAGATTAAAAGGCAAAATACTGGAAAACAACAATGCTGTGGGAAACAATGGCTGGATCTCAGTAGAGATACAAAAATGATAAGCAACAGCTAAAAAGTAAACGTAAGTAAACAGCCAGAAATAGAACCAGAGCTTTCGGACAACACTAGTCCTTCCTCAGTGGCGAGTGAGTGAGGGTAGAAAAAGCTAGATGGTATAAAGTGAGAATTTCATGCAAGCATGATTGGAAACAATAGGCTGGGTGAGATTAGAATAAACAGCCTAAACAAGTAAATATATATACATATATATAATACAACATTGTGAGGATATAAAAAAGAATATAGGAAATGAATACCATGTATGGACTTTACAAACATTTTATTTGAGAAAAACAATATTTCAACATATTTTATGTCTTTATCATGGAACTAAATATTACTTGTGTACTTGTGTTCCTTAGTGAGTCAATACTCCTTATTAAAGACCTAAGGATTGGTCAAAAAATTATTTACAGAACAATCTATACCTTTGATCACCAAGCCACCAAACGAGGAGGTCAATGTCATGGCAACACTTCGCCATTAAAACAAATGTAGAGTTATCCTCTCGATTCCAATTGCCACGGACGTATGAATGAGCAAAGTGAAACCATCCGACCTAAGATACAACACACAAAATGTGGTATGAATGTAAATGCAGTATTATTATTATTATTACTACTGTATTATTATTATGAATGATGCTATCAAAACTTCAGGTAGAAAATGAAATGGTAAGGGTGGTTGTTTTTTATGCCTTGACATTTGACATACAGTAGTAATACACACTGTAAACTATGAGGTCGTTTTCTTAATGTACTTCCTTTTGGATTTTAAGAAGATTTTTTTCATATAAATGATGCCTCATAGCGAGTAGTGTATATTGTCAAACATCAAATTGGACATTCAACCACAAATTCAGAACCACAAGAAAAATATAATTTCAACTAAAAAAATTGACAAGAAAAGCATTGTGGGTTATGCACAAGGCATTTAGACATGCTTTACCGGTTCATGAAGTTGGATGTTTACGACTTCACCAATGATACCACTATCTATTAGTTCCTTGATCTTCTGAAATGGTGGGAAATACCGAAGAACATGTCCAACTGCCAATATGACATTATTTTTTTTACAAGCAGCACAAATTGCTTTGCAATCTTCCTCTGTTACCTGTAAATGAAAATATAATGAAAATATGAAAAATAACCTATGTTGGTCTTTTTGTATCACAAATACGTACTGGCAAATAATCATGTACATATTTATTATTACCAAAGATAATAAATAGCAGAAGATAGAGCAGCTTCCCAATACAGTGAAACATCCGTTCGAAAGGCACTGTGGGTACACGGAAGCAGTTTTACCCCATCCGCGCGGCGGCGCTATATAGAAATAATAAAGGCGCCGCTCTGGTTCGTTTACTTAAAACAAGATATGTGTCTGGAAAAAAGAAATTTGTGAACAACAAGTTGCTCTGGCTGGGATGTCCCCCAGTAAAAAGTTGCGAGACATTAGTGGTGCTGTTTCAAAACAGAACTGTTAAAATGGTGTATACCAACTTCCTAAAAAGTCGGCATTTACTGTGTGTAATACATTCTAAATATTTTAGAAAATAATGTGTTTTGATCAACAAACGATTTTTCCTGTATACAAACATTCTTGCTAACTAGTTTGATTAGGAGATTGGTAGTCTGGGCATTTAATAGTCAATTCACAAAAGACAAAAAAAAATTTAGGTACAATTACAATTGAAACATTGCAACATTTGTCATTTTGCAGCTTGAATATGCCATTTATCTACATTCCAAAAAAAAAATATTTGAAGAATGTTAAAGCTTTTAGTATAGTCAGCATAGTATAGGAGTACAATAACTGGTAAATATATAGAAGTGACAAATTAAATCAATACTGAAATTAATATATTTAACTGTGATACTTACAGCCATTGGTTTCTCTAGTAGCACATTGTAGCCCTTATTAGCAAACCCTACAGCAGGTTCCTTGAATAAATTAGACAATGTTCATGAAATAATATCAAATAACATTAAAATTAAGAGTTGTATGTATGGTAAATGTATATCAAAATAACTAACAGCATCTTCACAATATAACTCAATATTATTATTTTCATTAATATTATTACTGCTAAGCTATTGTTTGTATTATTACTGTTGTTAATTTTTGTATACTGTATAATAATTATGGAATTATATCTTGTTGTAGTTTTGATTGTCACTATAATATATATTTTTTTCTTTTTATTATTGTTGCTGTTTATAATTACCAGTACTATCAATCCTCGTGAAAGTCTTGTCGTCGACAGCCTTTCAAGAGGCTGTGAGGTAATGGGGCGGGTCCAGATATTTGCAGAAGGAAGGGAACTTCTATATAAATAACATAAATTTAAATGACTTGGAGAACTGTCTTCTGTTTTGTAACCCTCCCATCTTTTGAGAGACTTAAAAGGCAACAATAATGTTAGTAGAAAATTGCTATTTAACCAACATCTGTACACTTTTTTGCCAGCTAAAAAAAACTCTAACGTGTTAAGCGTGGTGGGGAGTGGGGTCTGGATGTCGACGACCATCACCCCCTATGGATGCGCCCAGGAGAATCATTTAAATAATTATTCTGTGAAGCCCAGTCGGCAAATTGCTGCAAGTATTGCCATATATAACAGAATATTCTAAAGCATTATTGAATACTGTTACGTCCTTAACTATAACTTTAGAAAGACCTTTAAAGTGACAGTCAAATTACCTTTAAAATAAAGAAGAACATGAGCCAATAATAATTTTGTTTATAATGTTAAAGCAGGTAAGATAGGCCTACTGGTAACGAATACATTATTATAAAAAAAATGGATTATACAATACATACTAAAATGTTGTGTTGGATGAGACATCCTATTCGTCATGACTTATTTTAGTGATTAATATGGTTATTAATAATATTATTTTATTCTATTATATTTAGTGAACATATATGCCTTTGTATCAGCTGCACTTACTGAAGTGGTACATTCCACTTTAACTACTACACTAATACTCAGCTGCTCCTTTCATACTGTACTAATGTAATTTGAATAATGAATTCTCACATGTTTGGCTATTTTGTAACTTTGTGTTATTGTAAAATTATGTATTTTACATATTTTAATGGATGTCAATAGAAACTGAAAATATGCCAATAATAGTAAGACATTTAAAAGAATGGTGCAACGGTATATTTCTTCCAGAGCTGTGCACGCGTCTGGACTGTAAATTGTCACAAACATTTCGTCCTCACTCAAATTAGTATATGATTAGTGTTACTGCTGTTATTATTAATTATGCCTTTTGTCATAATTACTTTTATTATCAGAAATAGAATTAAGGCTTATATTATCCCTCATCCTTTTGTTACATTCTCGCTAATAATTCCTTGTAATTTTTATTTACATATCAATAGTTCAATCTGTGAATTTTCTGTTAATTTTCTTTTGTTCAAAGAAAAATAAACTTTGATTTGAGTTAAATATTTATTCTAAATATGAGTAGCAGTAAGATTTGGGAAAGGGAAAGCCAATAAAAGAATGACTTCAGGAAATTATCTACTGTTCATTTTGTTTATCAAAAAGTGCCTTAAAAAAAACACTATTTATACAAACCTTATGTAGGGTATCCGGAGTTGCTATAACAACACAGTCTGCAAGTTTGTCAAGCTTTAAAATATCTTGAAAATCTGATAAAAAAAAAAAAACAATTTAACAAAATATGCTTACTACATAGAGCAAGAATTTATTGAAACAGGTCCACCACCCATGTCTACAGGCCTCCTGAAAACTGCATGGATGAAAAGCAAGCTTAACACTGACATCAACAATTGTGACGATGATTTGAACAAGACCCTTAAAACTCGCTTACAATAAAATATTTTGTGAGTGGGAAGGTGAGCCTAGATGGCCACACCCTTTAAAGAACAAGGATAGAGCCAAAAAAAAAAAGGGAAAAATTGGGTAAGTGTTCGCAATTTAGCTATCTATGTATATAGTAAATACAACGGAAAACATGGGGTGGGGGATATTTCCTGTGCTAGTACCCATCCAGTTTTTAGTTTTGGATGCTCTATTGACCAAAGGAAACATGAAAAGGACATTAGGATAACATCACCTTCAAAAACATGGTTGTTTTGGAGATTATACTCCTTTTGTATAAGTGCTCGTGCAAACTTTCTTGGATCAGCAACTGCCACTACCTGTGATGAAGAAATATTTTTTAAAAACAAAAACGAAATAGTGGTGTGTATTTGCATTTGTTATTATGGCATTCAATGGAGGAAAAAATGAAGTTTATTCTCATCAACAATGTCCAGAATAGTTATCCTGTTTATTCAATTGGTGGGAGTAATATTAACAGTTTTATAAATGGTATTGTCAAGATTGTCATGTTGGATACGGGAAACCATGCTTGTCCGGCGAACGAAATTTCCCAAAACCCCTGTTGTGCTCCTACAGTGATGGTTGGGGGAGTCTATGCACCTGTTATCAGCATCCAATGGAGAAAAAAAAAAGAATATTCTCATCAACAATGTCCAAAATAGTTGTTAACCTGACCTGGTGAGTTAATCGGTGGGGGTGGGGAATAATACTAAAATTGTATAAAATAATCAAAATTTTTATGACAGTGGCTATTGCACCAGTCTGAAACCAATTCCTAATTGACTGATCAGATGTAACATCATCGGAATATTAAGAGTTGGTTTAAGACTGGTGTAACAATCTGCTACCAATTTGTATACTCCCTGTACTGATAGTGGCAGTTTCAGACTAGAATGGCCACCTGATCCAGAAGTCCACTAGCCTCTACCAGATATATAAGCCCTTCCACACAACCTTTCTCCTTGAATTTACAAAGACCATCTGGCTCCATATTTGGTAATCAAGTACCATGGAGGTTTATAAAACATACCTTGAACTTCTGCGGATGCACCTTTGCAAAAGATGCATAAATCTGTCCTCTGTTCCCAGCACCAACAATGACAGCGGTGACGATCTTATTTGGATAATCAGAGCTCATCTTCTCGATCTTTTTATTAGTGGCAATTGATCCAGGTTTCTACATACCAAAATAAAAAAAAACAATATACTAATCAGCTCTGGTTGATACAAGCAGACCGGAGAGGTGGTTAATTAACATGGTACAGTAGGTATAACACCATAAACTTTCAGGGTTCCCAAGTCTAATGGAACTCGTGGGAGTCTCCAGAAAATCAGGACGACCTTCCGCACTCCCACAAGCAAGCAAGAATCTCCCGGAAATAACATAATATTTGCATATTTTCAATATTTTATTATCAATTGTCTCATGAAAGTGAGTGCCGATGGGTATCACTATGTGTAGTACCGGGTGCAGTAATAAATTTAGACGTGTCGACAAAAGGCATTATAAACCACTGCAGATCAGTGAAGGATCCCGACGGAGGGGCCGGTGCCCCGACCAGGGGTCAGATTTCCCCGACAAAAGCAAAGTGGGCGTGGTCGAGCTTCGACTAAAAGGTTCGGAAAGTGGTCCTGGGTGCGAAGCCCCTGAAAATTTTTAAAATTTTTTCAAAGGCTTATTTAATTGATTTTAGAGTCTACTAATATGTTAAAAAAATACATAGAATTTTTTTTTCTTCCCGACGAATTGTGATTTTTCTCCACGACGGGGGGGGGGGAAGTCTCCCTGGGGCTAGTAGTAGAAACCTAGGCTAGACTCTCCAATGTCGACCAGGAGAAGTTCTTTTTTTTCTAATGTAAGCCCCAGGCCTCTCTACAGACAGGTAGACAATACCGCCTACCCTAGTAGTAGTAGGCCTAGCCTAGCCTACCTACCTAGGCCCTATGCCTATAGTATAGCCTAGGCCTAACTATAGGCCGGGTAGCCTATACTATATATAGAAATAGCCCTATTTAGTAAAATTACAAAGAAATAATGGGCAAACTTGCGCTAGTAGCAGTCAGATAGGTTCTTCTCCAGCCGACGGATTGACTCTGAGTATTGATTTCTGCTGTAAACCAAAGAACAATACAGCATAGGAAGGATTGAACTGCAATGAAGAATTATTATTAAACAAGTAGGCCTAGGCTTGGCCTAACCAACTTTCCGCGGTGGTGGTCCGTCCTGAAAAACCAACCAACCATGACTAAAAACAAACTAAAAAATAGTGTGCTGCCATCAACGGCTATTCATAATCCAAAAAAATTGTTTAATTTATTACAACCCCCACCGCCGAAAAGCTCTCTACCCAATTGAAAATGTTCGATGCCGGAAATTCACGCTCAAGTAGTTCTAAATCATCTTATTTTGCGATCTAACGCCCCTTCTTCACGTCACTCCCCCACCATCAGCCTTAAAGTTATTTATACCACTTTAATGGCACGATTTATTCAGTGTTTACACCGAACAAATCCAATCCAAACTAAAATAAAAGTGTAGTTAATAAAGCGAAAGAATAAGTTGCCTATAATAGCAGTGGTGACGTGAGTTATGTAGCATAGACCTAAGCATGAAATTCTCCTAAAAGTATGATACAGTGTTGGTCAATCAATTAAAATTTATTGAAACGAACATTTCAGCTACTCCTGTGTCTTTGTCAACGCTTGATAAAACTGAGAAAGTTTGTTGGTAATATACAATTTGAGAAACAATAGACCAGACCAAGTCGGAATATATATAAAGGATTAATCATATATACATTATATATATGTACATATATATATGCCTATATATATATATATAAAGCTGAGATTAATTATGAGGAAAATATTTATGAAGAGGTTAGCAAAAGAGTCATTCTCAGTTATTAATGATTGGAGCTACACCTTTTTTTTTAAATAAGAACACATTTTATAAGAACACTGAGGCTTAAATTACTTAAAAATTAAGAACAAAATAAGAACAAATTGAGGTAAAATGTCCAATGAGATTTTTATTTTAAAAAATCTAGAAAAACCAATATATCTGTACTGTACCTTATGTGCAGTAGGTGTGATTATGTAATACCCTCTATAATACAGTACAGGAGGTGTATACCTACTTGTCATTTGGGGCCGTTTTTACCGGGCCTTTTTTCTGGGGACGTTTTTTCAGTGGCCTTTTTTTTTCGTGGCCAGTTTTTCCTGGGGTACTTTTACCTACATTCCAGTACAGTGTACAGTATACTGGTACAATAATACATTTAATGTTTGAAAAGTGTGTAACATAAGAACAAAATAAGAACATTTTTAGCCTGAAATTGGCCAAAAAATAAGAACACTGAGCCTGGGCAAAATTTTACTGGTTCTTATAAAAAAAATTGTACCGCCGTCCAGGCGCTTTCCAGAATCTGTAACTGGAAAGGATTTTCCTAACAACAGATTTCAAGAAGCAACTGGAGGGAACTACTACCGGTACTTGTAGCTAGCTCAAAATCCTATTAACCATTAAACATACCGTATGCAGCGCCTCATTGGATATTTGCTGAGAAAAAAAACACTAGGATTATTAGTCAAATACTATTTGACTGCAAGGACAACTCGCTTAACCCAACAAAATACCGTAGCAATTAAAACACCATATTTATTGCATATAATTAGTGTACCGTATTTTATGCAGGACTAACAATAAATGCTTAAGAATAAAACATAGGCCTAAGCTTTAAAATTCGAGCCTTCAATAGATTTATACATAGGCCTAATGTATTACTTCACTTTAAATCGTTTTTGTTTTGATTTATGAATTCCAAAATAAAATTGTAAGGAATCCGGAATTAAAAAAAAAGTCGTAGCATGCATCATTTGGTTTCAGTAACCTCTGAGTTTTCGTGCATCGGAGCCCTTTTAGTTGCACTTCTATAGCAAAATATTATTATAGAGATCCAAACTCGAAAAAAAAAATTTTAAAAATAAAAAAAAACACGCGTTAGTTCTTTGTTGATAGCAATATGTATCAGCATAAGATATAAAAATGCTTCCGTTATGATGGATTTAAAAAAGCTATGGACACGCAATTCAAATAAATTTCATGTGTATTTTTATAAAGGTTGGCTTACAATAATATGTAAAGGTATGACAAAATATAGCAATCTCATCTGAACGCGCGGTGGTGCATCAGCTAACAAGGACGGGTTTTTTTTTTCTTCTTTCTTTTTCTGTAGTTCAAAGTCAGTTTGAATGGAGATTGTCTGAAATTGAAATTTAGAATAAACTGTCGCATTGATCACAAGCACCACTATGACAGTTTAGTTCAAACGAAGTAGAACTACATGATACAACAAAGATCGGATTTGTAGGGTATCGGCTTGGCGCGAAATTCTGCCGGTGGTAACGAGGTCAAGGAATTACACAGACAGAAAAGACGAGTGCAATGTAGTGCATGACTAGATGTTGTGCATAAAATAATCGCCGAGATTCAGGAAAACGAATCTCTAATGAGATATTTCCGCAATCGTGTTCTATAGTCGTAAGACGGAAACAAACAATTGAATGTCAAATAGGGCCAATTTGTAAAGCAGCATGGGAGAATTTTTTTCAAATTCAAAGTTTCACAAACGGCATTCAACAATGACATCCTAACCTACCCTACCACATCATTACGTTTCTGTAGGCCTACCAATCTCATTCGCCGACTTTTCCCCATACAATAGGCCCTACTATAATACAAAAACATAATCAGTCAACATTTTGTTAAGTCTACATTCGTAAATCTATAGGCCGTATGGTTTACACTGAGCCTTCAGGGCAGCCTGCCTATCTATCCAGGAATCGTTTATGGCTTAATGTTATTTTTAACAAAATTATTAGGTCTTCCGTATTTTCTACAACAAACATTTTGCGTGCAATGGCGTAGCCAAGCTATTGGGATAGTCCCACACAATTTTTCTATAGGGTCCACAAAGAGTGGGTCCACATTTTTAATGGGTTTACATTATGCTGTTTTATGCACAAAATGAGTCCACATTTTTAAAATATGGGTCCAGATTTCTCATAATTTGCATAAAATTGGTCAACTTTTACGAAATGGGTCCAGATTTGTTTATTTTTGCGTAAAAATGGGTCCACATTATTTTAATTTACGCGTAAAGTGGGACCACCCTGATATTGTCCCCCACTGTTTGAAAATCCTGGATACGGCATTGGACGCATAATATACCGTCGCTCACATCAGGAACTAACACAATTAAATTCAATTATGTTAGTTCGTGAAATCAAAAAAGCGCGTCAAAATACGTGCTATTGTCGTTAAGGACTTTTTGTGTGGTAAAGAATACAAAATTGCTTGACACGAACTAACACAATCTACTTTGATTGTGTTAGTTCGTGATGTGAGCGACGATACATTACCCTGTTGATTCTTGGAAAAATACATATGAAATATTATTGATATTCATGTCACCGCGTATGACCTGTTGTTTTACCATGCATAAAGACCCCGATAAAGACAGACAATGATGCGAACACAAATGATAACTCCCCGATTCAACCGACCAATCAGCATCACCGAAAGCGTGTAGCGATTGTATGGAAACCAAGCTTAAGCGACATCGTAGTTTATCTTCAATCTCAATCATTTTCATATTCATTTTTTGATATACGGGATTTAGTTTTTGTAAAGCATCGTGTGTGTATTATCTTGTGAAAGGGATTAATTGTCAACTACAACAAGTAGGAGAGTCATATTCGCTATTGATAATCTTTGGTTCATGTGTTGTGTGCCTAAATTCATAAATAAATAAATAAAAAATAATATTACTTTTATCCGTCGGAGTTTGCCTATCATTTAGATATAGTTTGAGCTCGTCCTCATGCATAATCATCACAAAACAATAACCAAATGGGCTTTACTATACTAGCTAAACATCCTCTGCCTACTTTAAGATGCACAGAGGCGGATCCAGAATTTAAACGTAGGGGGAGGGGTTGGGTTAAGGGTCAGTGGTTCCAGTTTTGGTTGAAAGGCCGATAGAGAAAGGTAGTGGTGGTTATAAACATAAAGGTGCAGGTCTAATCCAGGCATGATTATTAATTTTTTTTCTCTTAAAAAAAACAAACATGCAGGCTTTGAAATACGTTTTCCTAATATTTACCGTAGGGCCTATTTTCACTATATTTATGGTAAGGGTAGTAATGGCGATATAATTAAAAGCACATAATACAAAATGTCTCTTGCGAAGGAAAAACACGCACACGTACAAAGGAAAGAAAACAAAACCAAAACAGTACCGGGTATTGGCGGATTTCAAAATTGTAAAAAAAAATTGAGAAAAAACTATTTTCAAATATTAAGTCTGAGAGTGCAATTTTCGGCCATCTAGAGATGGTGGATCTGAGGTGATATAGACCCTCCATCGGTCAAATTCCCTCCTTTGTGAAAATCCCTCTATGGGCCCCTCTATTTCGAATCCCTGGATCCGCCACTGCAAAAGCAAAGGAAATAAGTTCAGAATTGATAAAGAGGAAATGTGGGATTCAGCCGAGATTTGAAGACAGTCAAAGATGGAGTCACGCACACCAGTCTCATGTAGTTGGTTCCAATGCTTCGGAGCATGCAAAAGAACGGTCGTTACAAGTTTTAAGGTGACCAACAGAACGAGTAAAATTAGATTGGAGATGTATGTGGGGATGAATTATGAAGTGACTGGAATGACATATAGCAAGATCTTGAATGTAACTACGGCATGGAGATGTACATCCACAGGTGTTGAATGAAGATCGGGATTCGAACCCAAGTTCTTCCGATTAAGAATTTGAAGGCAGGTGAATGGGTAAACTAATGGAGACGATGCAGAGCAAGGGATGTAGTAGGCGTGAGAGTAATGAGTACGGTATGGCTTAACTGGAGTTAAAAGCATAAAGGCCTATACATATATAGAACGGTATATACATTGCTATAATTTCTTGTTTCAATGCTTATTATATAATTTCAAGAACACACGTGGATTTACTATATATATTTAAATAGGCAAATAATTTTATTCTGT